CAGAGACACCATCTAATTATGGTCCATCATGTCACCAAGTCTTTGTCTTCTAATAGCCAAGGATGTTCAGATTGAGTGTAATTTAAGAACATTTTCACGACAGATAATGGAATAGCATAGAAAACTTTCCTTGAAACATTAAGATATAGTAGTTCTCTCTTAACAATGAGGGACATATTGTAGGACTCCCAGCAGATTCTTAAAATGAGAAATAATATCAAATCACTTGTATACAGTGTCTTTCCAGATACACAATGCCTATGATAAAGTTTAATTTATAAATTAGATACACTAAGACAGCAGTCCCCAACTATTTTGGCACTAGGGACAAGTTTTCTGGATGCACTAGGCAGGGGCTAGGAGATAGTTTCAGAATGATTCAAGTGCATTTCATTTATTGTGTACTTTATTACTGTTACTATTATATTTGAATATGTAATGAAATACAGTTCACTATAATGCAGAATCAGTAGGAGCCCTGAGCTGGTTTTTCTGCAACCCAATGGCCCCATCTAAGGGTGATGAGAGATATGCCAGAGGAGTGTTGCTTATGTCCAGTCTACTGCATAATCTTGTTTTCAGTTGTTGGCATGCACAAAGCCTTGCTTTACAAGACAAGTTGAAAATGGAAGCAGGCTTTTCAGTGCTTATGTGGCAATCTCAGGATATTCCACCTTGGCTTTAATCTAGAATGTATGGATATTTGAAGCTAGCTCAAACATACTTTCAAGACCATTGTAATTTGCAAACTCAAGCAGTTGATTCTCTTGTACAGACAAAGTTGATTTCACTTAGTTTGTAAAAATGGGTTAGTCACAGATCCATTCCTTCCCAGTTCAGGGGTCTTTTGTGTCTGGGAAGTAATGCTAAAATTCTTTGAGAAGCTGATACATGTGATCATGCACCAGGTGGGAGAAAGCAGTCTCTTTTAAAATTTGCTAATATTTGAAATATGTCAAAAATCCTAATCCCCATAATTCCAGTTTGGCACTGAATGCATCCACTTTATCTGCCAATTTGAACACAGTTGTTGTTCTTCCCTGAGATGACAGATGGATTTCACTGAGCATGTTGAATATGTCACACAAGCAAGGTTCATGACCCATTCTGTGTCACTGGAATGTGCTGGCAGTAGTGAGTTGTTTTTTCTTTTTTAAGATATCTATGGAGAGTCTCTTATAACTCAAATATTCTAGCCATGATCTACCTTTAGAAGGCATCTCACTTCTGTCTATAAGAGAAGATGTGTATTGCTCTGCACCCATCTCCTCACAGAGCTGCACAGACAGGCATGAGTTAAGGGCAAATACTTTAATAGACTGATACTTTAAATTATATCCTGCAAGACGTTGTTAAGTTCAGGTAACATTTTTTTGGCTAGGCAGCATTTCTCTGTGGATGACAATGCATAGACTCACATTCAGAAGTGACCTCTTTGACCTGAGTAGTGAATCCAAATATGTATTTACAACATTCACTCTTTCCAGGCATATACCCACACAAAATGACCAGTTCCATTTTCCTGATACACAATCATTCAAAGATTTGAATAGTTCTGTAGCTGTGGTGTTTGTTGACAACAAAAGTGCACATAACATATCCTCATGCGTATCCTTCTGAAAAATATATCACACAAAAATAAGCATTGTTGGCCTGTTGGCAACATTGGATCGAATATCACAATTACTCATTAATCCTCTCTAACAATTATACGTCAATATCTTCTGCTATTTTAGCAGTTTGTCTACTATGGTGCTAGCCAAAAGAGGAATATGTGCCATCTTTTGAACTGCAGCCTCTCCTAAAAGTTTGTGACAAATATTCTTAGCACCAGGCAAGACCAACTCTGAACCAATAACAAAGGGTTTCTTAGCTTTAACAATCCAATTAGCCACTAAGAATGATGCTGTCATTGCAGACACATGTGATGAAATCATGGTGACCTTTAGTAATTACTTCTGTTCTTCATGTTCACTTGTTTTTCTTACGAAAAACTCCAAAAGCTTATTTTTAATTCAGAGTGTTTGGTTTTTATGTGGCAAAGTGGTTTGAAGGTTTTGTGGCTTCACTGGATAGTTGGTATACAAGATAACTTAGAGACTGTGAATCACCTGTTGCAGTGAACCCATAATTTACATAAGACTCTTGGTATGTTCTTTTAAATCCAGCTCTCTTTTTGTTGGCAGTCTTAGAATCCTCTGCTGTTTCATGACTCGGTCTTTTCCCCTTTTCAAAGCTCTCCATTGACATTTTGTTTTTACTCATTTTGGCAAGGGTTAGCTGGTAGGCTACCAAAACTGTGACTGAGACAAGGGTGCATTGTGGGAAAGAGGCACAGACTGAAGTGGGAAATAAAAGGGATGGGTAAGCCATGTGCAGACTAAAATAAGTGTTGGATGCTGACTGATAGCTTGTCACCAGATGTAGCCACACCACTGAAGTACATCAATTCACTCGCCACTGTAAAGCCTGCCACCAGATGCAGCTGGATTGTCACTTACCACTCATTGGTAGGATTCTGATCTGAGTCTGCAAGCCTTTGATTTATCATGGTCTCTGCAGTCAAGCCTGTCTGCTAATGTTCATCTGCATTTGCCAGTGCTAGCATCACTGCCTCAGCTCCACCTCAGATCAGCAGGCATTAGATTCTCATAAGGAGCTGCACAACCCAGATCTTTCACATGTGCAGTTCACAGTAAGCTTTGTGCACCTATGATAATCCAGTGCCCTTGCTGATCTGACAGGAGGTGGAGCTCAGGTAGTGATGCAGTGCACAGGAACAGCTGTAAATACAAACTTCTCTTGCTCTCTCACCTGTCACCTACACTTCCAGGACTTAGGAACCCCTGGACCAAGAGACTAACAACCACAGTAATAAAACAGAAGAATTATAACCATCTATTATAATACAACTTCAACCTCACTAGTCTTGCACTTTGGAGCCACTATTTAGTAAAATAAAGTTACCTGAATACAGCACTATGATCCATGCCCACCCATCTGGTAACTGAGAAAGCTATGAAGTGACTCATGGGTAGGTAGTGTGTATACAGTACTGATATGCTGGACAAAGGACTGGCTCATATCCTGGACAGGTCTGAGATTTCATCACACTACTCAGAATAGCACAAACCTTATGAATCATTTATTTCTAGAATTTTCCATTTAATATTTTTGAAAACAGTTGATCTCGTGTAACTGAAACAGTAAAAAATTAAACCATGGATAAAGGACTACTCTGCTTTTTCTACTAGTGCATATTCTCACATTTCCATTTGTAAGTTAAAGGGGCAGTAAGGCCCTTCCAAAAATTAGGCATGTGGACATCACCTAAATTGAATAATGAAACTGACAGCAGTTACGACCACCATGAGAAGAGGACCATGAGGCCAGACTTGGTTTATCCAATCATTACAAGGGCAAAGTTTAATGTACTTCTTACATGGCCCTAGATAATTTCAAGGCTATGTGAGGTTTAGCTCTTTGTCTTTCTGAAGGGTTAAACAAAAAGGGGGAATTTAATACTTTGAATGTTAAGTCACAGAGTAAAATAATATGTCTATGGGCTCTGAATTTCAGTACCGAATTTCAGCTTGTTAGTTTCCACTATATGCATTTTAATGGCAATGTGAAAATTAGATCAAGAGAACTTTATACCCTCTCAGTCAAAAGGCAATAAATAGCTTTAGGCCAGTAAAGAATTGATGTGTTTAGATGCAATCAATGAAAATGAGCAATTTTCAAGAACTAGGTGGAGCAGGTACACATTGATTCTGACCTCAGCATCTCTCAATGGGTGAATTGACAGCAGCTCTCAGCTCTAATTTCAGCCACTGAATGGAAGAGAAGGCGCTTAAGCAGATCTGGACCTCAGAGCCAGGCAGTTCAATAAGGTAGCAAGAATCACATGTTCTTGTCAAGTGCCAAAAGAGCTGACTTTCTTGGAAGCCACAGTTGCCTTTCAGCTCAGTACATTTCCCTTGAGCCCTTGAAGCCAAGCCCAACTTATAGGTCAAGAGATGTTTGCAAATGAAAGAGTATCTGTAAGAACCAGAGGTAGGATTTGTGCTCTTCAGATGTGTTACTGCCTTCTGGGCTTGTAGATATCCCATAAATAGCTTTCTGTTTGTCCTCATTGCTCAATGTAGATGTTGAGGTGAGAAACAATGTGTGCCTGCTCCACCAAGTTCTTGAAAACTGGTCATTTTCATTGAGTGCATCTAAACCGATCAAATCTGCTTTCTAGCTGCTACATCTACAATAAGCTCCTGCATAACTTCACTGTATTGATCAAGCCCAGACTATCCATCTGGTTTCTTCCCTAAAGTTCAGTGTGCCCGTCCAGGGGCTTTTACCATGACTGTGCTGTGTTGGGTCACACAGCATGTGGCCATCAGCTGTCAGGGAAAGGTGTGGGAGCTCAGAGACATGTCACAGACCCAGTAATTTCTAACCCTCCCTCCCTGGTATATTGCTCAGGGCACAAATGCTTCCAGTCCTCTTAAGGGTGCAGTAAGATTTGGGCACGTGGGCTTGCTTCCAACTTAGGTAAAGTTTCTCACTATTTCCCTTCACACCCCAGCCCCACTGCAGGTGGCTCCTTAATGACATGCAGATTTGGTTTTCCTGAAATCTCCTGAGAGTGGATTAGACCCTGCTAGTCCACATGCTGTGGCATGTTTCAAAACTTGTTTCAAAAATACTAAAACCTTGATAATAAACAGCTTCTCAGAATCAGGGAGTGGTAGATTTTGCGGTGGACAGATTTTGAGTGGGAGATTTTGAGGTCTGTTGGTGGACATTTAGCCTGAAGCAGAGCTAAGGCTATTCAAGGACTGAGGCTGATGGGGGCAAATGGTAACCTGGCAGTTTGGGGGATCCCTTACCAGATGCCCTCCCTCCAAGATGAATCGCTATGTACTCCGTTTCCTGTCCTAGGAAGAATTTGTAAGAAGCAGTACAAGTTGTAACTCTTACTTTTTTGTTTTCCCTTCAAAAAGCTTGTCACAAATGCCAACCAGTTCTGTAAAAGATGAGACCAATGACAACATTACCATATTCACCAGGATCCTGGATGGGCTCCTGGATGGCTATGACAACAGACTGCGGCCAGGGCTGGGAGGTGAGTGTGAATCCCTGGCTGAGAAAGCAAGCACCCAGGAGTGCTGTGCCTCAGTCTAAAGCCTGCAGTTGCTTCAATTCAAACATCCTTTAAAGAGCTACGCTGCCAGGGTTTGTAGCTGCTGGCTGCTCCATCCTTGCCACAGGCCTTGCATCTTTTGTTGTCATTTTCCCATTGCAAAAAGCCGGGGGGAAATGCTCTCGCTAAAATGTCCCTACCAACTCCCTCTTCCCAGATAATCTTAGCATCCATTCTGGTTCTTTTACAAGGAACCACTTCTTAGGCAGATTAAAGCTGAGAGTGTTAGGAAATAATAAGAAATTAACCTGATATGGTTGTGTTTGTGCAAATCCTCCTTTAGAAGACCACTGTTTAAGGCAATTGTTCTTTGCACTTACATCAATTGTCTAGATTTTGCTGTGGCCACAGTTGTACTATTTACAGTAGTTGACCTTGATCTGTAGGGTTGTGGATGAAGCCTGTGTGGTACTGATGCTGTCTTTGTTATTTTATCTTATACATACACAACTATGATAAACCCTAATTTATAAATCAGGCACATTAAGAGATTAACAATAATTAACAATCAAATAGAAAATTTATAACACTACAGTAAGTCCCCGACTTACAAATGAGTTCCATTCTGGGAAAACATTCTTAAATGGATTCATTCATAAGTCCAACAAAGTGAGTCTTACACATCTTTGACACAAATATACAAAGCAAAAAAATAAAAAACAAAAAACAGAAGAAAGCCCAAACACACACAATTATTGTAAATAAGCAGCTTTTACTTTTAAGCACTATAAGCACACAGAAGCACAACTGTGATAGTGTCTAGCAGACACGTGAGCTACTTCTGTGATTTGTTTGCATCTATGAATGTTCTGAATGTGAGGTCTGTCCCTATCCGTGAAATACCGAAGCATGAATGTTTGTAAATCGGGGACTTACTATACTATAAGTTTGAACTATTTATTCCAAGGATTTTCTATGTAATATTTGTGCTGAGCCGAGATGGGAGATGGGACCAGTGTGTGGCTTGGGGTCATTCTGTGTAAGCTGTCCTGCATCTGAACATGGTCTCTATGCAGGAATGCAGGGAGGTCAGGGCCTCAGTGATGCCTAGGAACATGAAAATTCCCTCACCCACAATACTACTGGCTACTTTAATCTTTTCTATATTTTCAGTAATTTGAATTGAAATAGTCTCCTGATGGGAATTTCTGACAGTTTAAAATGTCTCCAAGGAGGAGTGGGTCTTTCCTCGCCAGCATTCTGAGAACAGACCACATTGAGAACATGTCTTCATGGGTCCTTTCCCAGAGGATCAAGTGTCACCAGGCTTTTGTTTTGGTTTTGGGAGTGTTGGGGATTGGACTTGGGGCCTTATGCATGCCAGGCAAACGCTGGATCCCCAGCCCCAGTCCTCCAGTTTTATTGAAGACCCTCCCACATGGGCCTTCCTCATCCTGAATTGTTCAGCTCTTTTCCAGGCCACTGTTCGTGGGGAGGGCAAGGCTCGGCATGATAGGCTGGCTTATTGTTCCGGATTTACAGAGAAGCAGACTGAAGCTCAGGTGCTCTTCCCCAGGCCAGGACTGACAGGCCAGGCCTCCGCAGTGGACCCGCGGGGGCCTAGTCTCTTTCCTTAACTGAGGTATTTTAGGTAGGCTACACTTAGAGCAGCTTGGTTCCACTGGGTATGGAATCAGGGCCTCCAAACTTATCAAGCCCATCCCAATGCCCTGGCTGGCGGGTGCCCTAATCCCCGAGACACTGTGTGATGCAGCGTGTGTGTGACCAGCATGTGAGCAACTGGTGTCTGTGTTTCAGAGCGGATCACTCAGGTGCGGACGGACATCTACGTCACCAGCTTTGGCCCCGTGTCAGACACAGAGATGGTAGGTGCAGGGCGGCCCTCGGGACCACTCCGAAGGAACCCGCAGAATGGCCGCAGACACCTCCTACTCAGACGTTGCCTCCCTTTGCATTAGGAATACACCATCGACGTGTTCTTCCGCCAGAGCTGGAAGGACGAGCGGCTGCGGTTCAAGGGGCCCATGCAGCGCCTCCCCCTCAACAACCTGCTGGCCAGCAAGATCTGGACCCCGGACACCTTCTTCCACAACGGGAAGAAGTCCATCGCGCACAACATGACCACGCCCAACAAGCTGCTGCGGCTGGAGGATGATGGGACCCTGCTCTACACCATGCGGTGAGTGGTGGGCGGTGGGCGGGCCGGGCCAGCGCCAGGCCCGGGACCCATGGTCTCAGGGTGGGCTTGGCAACTGGGCTCTGCGCATGTGCGCCGTGGGCTCGCCTGTGCAGCCTGTGACCCTACCTCTGCTGGCTGATGCTCATGTAGACTTTCCCCTCTGGCTGCTATAGAAGTGAAGGCCTTCATTACCTGCACTTTTTCCTATTCAGGTTCAGGAGCAGTTTTGGAATTAGTGACCCAGATCATGTGAGATAGGGAAAACTTACTGTATAAAAATTTTAGTAAGAAAACCAGAAAGAACCCTCTTTGTTGCAGTTGCACAATTTTTTCAGGTTTTAAAAGCCCATTTTCATACAATTTGAGAACATTTCCATGCTGAGGTCAAATTTTAATATTTCTAATTTAAAATATTTATTAGTCAGGTTTTCTCTTAATTTTTCACTGTCCTTTAATAAATCGATAAATTGACCAAGGAAAAGGCTCCTTTATAGCTTTTCAAAGTTTTCATGGTGGGCTTAAATAGTCTTCAGAAAATATTTTCAAAATTATTTAAAAACCCGCTAACTTCAAGTCAAAAAAAAGCACATGCACTTATGTAGGTATTCATGGAATTTCTCTTACTACAGTTTTTCACAGTAAATTTCATATTTCAAAGAAGAAATCATAATGGAGGTAATATCAATGCTTTCATGTTTGGAGGCTGTGTTTTCTAACATGTGTCCAGACTTGACTTTTCTCATAACCACCCAGGAGGAGCCAGGATGAGTGCATCCCACATGCAGCATTGCACTGTGCGCCTCATGCCCTGCTTCTCCTTGCATTGAACCTCAGTGTGTTTTCCCCATGGACCGATGTGGGCATCAGTGTCCTTGGGCTGAGCCCTCTCCAGGCAGAGAAATCTGTTGGAAAGCTGGAGATAGTGCTAGAGTTGAGAATACCATCTCGGTCATTGTCTTGGAAGGAGGGTTAGAGAGAAGCCATGTTTGATCTCAGCCCTGTGAGCAGGTGTGAGACAGAGGTTGAGGTCCTGAAGCCTCCTACAGGGCCACATGGGGTTGGGATCAGCGACTGGATGCAGTTACTGTGAGACTGAACATGCTTTGTTAATGGAATAAAAATACTCCCAGTCCCCAGTGGATTATAGTTCTAATTGTTGCCACCAAGAGACCATAATTAGGCCCAAAGCCCAAAAGATAGAACATGAAGCATGCAGTTTTATTTCTAGGAGACAAAGGCTCACTAGCATCTAGTGCATCACTGCTGCTGGACCACTGTTTAGACTGCGGGAGAGCTGCGGGCTGTGGGTGGAGCTCAGTGATAGAGTGCTTGTCTAACATGCTTGATGCTCTGGGTTCAATCGCCAGGACTGAGAAACATAAAACAAAAACTAAAAGGGACGAGGGGAGAGGCCTCTACCAAATACCATTTACCAGGCACAGGCATGAACTTCTTTAGTCCTCCCCAAGCCCTGCCAGACAGGAGACATCGTGACCATGAACATCTGGAGAGTGAAGCTCAGAGGCATTTCGTAGTTAGCCAGGATCCCACAGCTAGCAAAGGGGCAGCAAGAATTTGAGCTCACGTCTGAGAAATATCCTTGCTGAATCCATCACACCTGGAAATTGGAAGGACTGTGCAGTATAGACATAGGGTAGCCTTCTTAGAGCCCTCTCTCTGAGTGCCATGCCCAGAAGGAAGCCGGTGAGAGGTGAGAATGAGAGGAATTTCTTGGCAGTAATGGGTGATTGTTTGTGTAGAAGAACATGCTAATGAGCTGCAAAGTTGATAATGAGTTTTCTTCTTCAGTCATATACAATATTTGGAAAGTGAAAATGGTTGATTTTCAAAATGTTATGAATTTTAATGTGATGGGGCTATAGCTATAAGGCAGTAGCATTTTATTGATTTAGCAGAGATGTTGAAATGGCAACACAAACCACCGGAGAAACAACAATCACATGGTGAATGGTGTTCAGATCCATAACCCATCATGGGGTATTTTGGTGGCACTGCTTTTCTGTACCCCTGGGCCACTCTGGTCCCCAAAGAGTCATGTGATGAGGGTATGTTCCCCACAGTGGTACCCCTGCGACCCAGTGGGATGTCTCTAGTGCACTGGTGGTGTGCCCTTACGGAGAGGATTGTGGGCCCCAGTTTGTCCCTTTTTATCTCTCTTGCCCCGGGCTATGTGGTAAGCTGTTTGACTGCTTACCTTGTCACACACTGTAGCCATGATGTTTTGACTCCTCACAGCCAGAACAGTGAGGCCAGCTGCCCACTGACTTGAAACCTCTAAAAGTGTGTCCTTGAGAATCCTTTTCTCTGTAAGTTTTATCTCAGGTATTTGTTACAGGAACAGAAAACTAACACCTTATAAGCCAGTGTGTACCTTGATCCAGTAATTCTTAGGTGCTGTCTATCTTAAGGAAATCTCTACGAAAAATGAATTATCTTCAGGCACAAAGGTGTCTATCATGACATACTTATGAGGACAAACATAGAAAGAAATATAAAAAAATTGGTAAAGTTTTCAAGTAAACTTGTATTTTTTTAACTTTGTACCTAATTCAAAAGATGAAGGTACAAGGTTTAGAACTAGGGTTTTACCTGGACGAACATCTGGAGATGCTTGAACATACTATAGTCATTGTTTCTAAAAAATAACTTCAAGAACAACCTTAAAAGGTAAAAACAAAAAATAACTCTAATGAAGTGATTGTACTGGATAGAAATTTTTTTTTTGGTACCAGGGATCGAATTCAGGTCCTTGCACTTGCACAGCAGGCAGCGAAAACACTGAGCAAAATCCCCGGCCCCTGGATAGAATTTTTAATGTGAAATTCCCACCAAGCCCCAGAAGTCCTTTAGATTATACTGAAAGACACACATATTGGGCTGATGGACTCTTCTTCCCATACATGACTCAAAGATATCGAGAGCCTTAGACAGTTGATGCCATTTGCCCCTAAAATGCCTGCCAAACAGCCCCTGACACTTCCTGGACCTAATCAATGCTGGTTTTCAAGAACTTCTTGCTACCAGTGGGTCATTTTTAATAAGATCTGAAGATAAAATTTATGACTGCTCAGGGTGAGCTTAAAGCTGACTTCAAACATTTCCCACTGGGTCCTCAGAGAGATGACACTTGGGACTGAGGTGTGGTTCAGTGGAAGAGCACAGGACCTTCAGGTATTCCTAAACTGTCAGGAAGGCTGCAAACTCTACACCCTTTGAGAGTTGAAAATGCCATTTCATGCCCCTGACCACCTGAATGCGCACCCTGACTCAGCAGCACAGGGACTGTGGTGTCCGTTATTTCCCAGGCAGTCGTGTGGCTGCCTGGGAACTGGGGCTGCTGCTGCTTAGCCTTGCACAAGAGGATCATACTGCATTTTGCTGCCCTGGGAAAGGGTTAAATCCAATATTTCAAGTGCAGTTTCTAATGAATGCCTATCACTCTCACATCAAGGTAAAGTCAAAACATTGTAAATCAAGCCATCAGAAGTCGGAGCATCTGACTGAACACATTCTTGTAGCAGTCTGAGGAAGCAGAGTGGTTATTTTACACAGACTCTCCCAGGCTTGTGCTTCAAATGTTGTGTCGCTCCTACAGGTGCCTCAACTCAGTAACCTCTCCCAGGCAGCCCTCCTTTCTAGGGGTGGGAAGGTAGAGATGCTGACGCCACAGGTGGGCTTTGGTCATCAATTTCTCCATTGTAGAATATGCAGCATGAAGTAAAGTAACAGCAGGTCCTGGATGGATGCCTGTCACTATGGCCAGCACTCATAATTACTTTGTTCTGAGTGTAACTATTGGTAATCTGTGCACACCAGTTGATCTCCAGTTCCCCATCCCAAAAGCTCCTGCAGGGCATTGTTACCATCTCTCACGGAGCAAGCCAAATCTTATGAGATATTGGTATTTATGAGCAAGGGACCTGCAGAACAGTAGCTGTCTTTCATCTCCCTGTCTCCCACACTCCTGTGAGCATCGCCGTACCATAGGGGATATTTCCCAACATTGGGCCCCTGGCAGGAGAGCAAGTCCCTTCGTAGTTTGAAGGTATGTTGGCTTTTCTATCAATGGGACACAATTCCTGACATGCACAACTTAAAGGAGGCTCAGTTTGGCTCTCATTTCAGAGGATTCAGTCAGCAGCCTGCTGGCTCCAAGGTAGGAGCATCGTGGTAGAAGGGCATGATGGAGCAAGGCTGCTCTCACTTCACGGCAGCAGAGAAACCGAGCAGGAAAACAGTGCCAGAGAAGGGGCCAGAGCCAGATACAGACCTGTAGGTGATTCCTCTGTGACCCACCCAGACACCTGGAAATAAGCTTTACTAACCCCCTAGAGGGCTCCCAAGCCAGTGCAGTTGACAGTTAAGTTTACCTGTCACAGAGAGCAGAAAACCGTAACCAGCAAGCAAGGACTTAACAGAAGGCAGGCTCTGCGGGAACCACACATTTCTCCTGTCTCAGGAAAACTGGTGGCTCCTCTACATTCCATCCCTTTGTCCAGGCATGTGTGACAGAAAGGGCTGGGTGCACCTCTTAGAGTGTCATCACTGTATCAGTCAGTGCTCACTAGAGAAACATTTAATATAAGATATATGAATACATAAGGATCGACATGGTAGGCTTACAATAGCCACCTGCAGGGTCAGGTGTAGAAGAATGCAAAAGGCCTGTCTGAGCTTGAGAGCCAAAGGATCCAGTCCAAAGTCAAAAGCCTGGAGCTCACTGTACAGTCCTCTTTGTGGCCTTATCAGGAGGCCCAAGGGTCTGCAGCGTAGGACTGAATGAAGTCTGTGCTGGAAGCCAGGAGAGAGATGTCTAAGGCAAAGGCAACGATTTGAGCTCCTCTGAAGAAATAGAAACAAGCATTCCTTCTATGTGCCCCTTTTTATTACATCTAGACTACAAACCAATCAGTTGGTGCCACTCACACCCAGGGTGGTCTTCTGTCTTCAGTAAATCCATTCAGCCAAGTCCTATGCTA